AAATGGTAAACTTAGGTCGTTCTCGCGCAGGGGACTGTTTTTCGGGTTTGATTGGGGGGGTAGACATCCGCAGCCACTAGTCTGACACCTGTCTGCCGTTCCCCGTCCTCGTGACTGGCAATGAGGCCCAGGATGCTGGATGTGCCGGAGGATCCGTTGCGTGGTTTAGCCAGGACTCCCGGTTGCGTGATGACGTTGAGTTTGATGTACGTTTGCTGGCTCCCATGCACTCTCTCACGAAGCAGCCCATACTTGGCGTCGGCACTGTGGGTCTGCCCCCCCCGCCTCCCCGCTTAGCGCTGATTTGTGCCCAGCCCCGCACGGGAATCTCTACTTTTCGTAGACGTGGACGAAAGCAAATGCCACTGCCACCTCGCGCGAACTTGGGACAGACTTAGCATACCGCGGCATGCTGAGTCTGGGCCGGGTGCTGTGTGAACTGCCTGAGCCTGATTTTGATGGGATGGCGGAGGCGATTTCGAAACCTTCGCCACATTTCGTCACTCGTCGGCCGTCCTGTCCGAGCTCCAGTCCATGGAAACTCGGTCAAAACCTTTCTTTAAAACTTTTGCTCTGTGTCAGCGCCTTGCCCTTGGTCTTTGCTTTGTCGCTGAGGCTGGGCCGCCGGGCCCGACTTGGACCCTGCTCACCCAGAAACACTGCACACGGATCCAGTGACTGAGTGGCTACTCTTGTCTGCAGTTTTTCCGTTCGTGAGAAAACTCCGCTGGGCACTCCTGCCACAGGATGCTGCTGTCTGTCCTCCACGTGCGCTTAGAGGCCTTATTCTCTGATCAGAGGCAATGGGCCTCTCACACCATCCTGGATTGGCGCCGCACAGTGCCTTTCCGGGCGTGCAGAGCCCTGCAGGCTGAAGGCCGAGCAGTACACACGGCGTCTCACATCAAACTGGTCGAGGGCCGTTGAAAACATCGTGCCTGCCCACTGTGCAACTGCCTGTTCCTAGTGCTACTCTTTTTCTCTTTTTCCCTCTCCCTCCCTCCCTCTTTGCTTCCTCGGTTACATTTCGTTCTGGGCTCCCCCTCCTGTTCCTGCCTCCTACCCTCTCCTCTTCCGCCCTTTCTTCCGCCCTCTGTGCCCTCCCCTTTTCCTCGTGCCTTGGCTGGAGGGCGGCGTGCCGGAGGTGCTGAAGATCATCCACGGCGGCATGACCGAGGAGGACGAGACCAGCCACAAGCTGCAGCCGCAGAAAGCGGCGGCGCCGACGGACGCCCCGGAGCAAGACGTGCAGCAAGCCGGCGCCATTTTCGCCAACCAGCGAGCCCGAGCCGTCCTTCCGGAAGGCTGCAACCAAGACCGAGAGGACCAGAACCCGGTGGCCACGGCCGCCTTGAACGACCTCCAGAACCAGCTCCAGACCAAGCAGGAAAGCGAGAGGATCTGCAACACCCTCGAAGTGCGCACGAGCAACGCCCTCGTGGACCAGTTCCAACCGCTCTACTTCGCCACGGCCTTCTGCTTCGCGCACGGGACCGCCTGCCCCGACGTTCAGAACAACCAGGCGGACGCCCGCCACGACCAGCAGAACCCAGCACGGCGCCGCAGTCGCAACCCTCAAGCTCCCAAGGTGGAAATCCACGTGTGGGCAGCGGCCATGCAACGACGAGCCGAGGCCCAATTCCGGCGGGATTGGACCTTCGGCTTCACCCTGTGGAACTACCTGTTCAGGACCATGGTCAAGGTGCAAGAGAACACCTCCATGTACTGCGTCCGACGAGAACAACAGACACAGAGCACTGACCAACCAAAAGATCTTGGACGGCGGGAAGCAGATCCAGAGAGAGCTGGCCAAAGGGCAGTACCTGGACGTCAACAACCAGCTGCGGCCCGTCCACGGAGACTGGAGCAAAGTACGCTTCGCCACCGGACTCACACCGGCAGCTCTGAAGGCGCGCGCAACAGAAAATAAAAACTCACACCGAAAGAGAGCTGTTAGGTGTGAGCTGTTAAAACTACCACAAAAAAAAACTCACATCAGACTCCGAGCTTCCATTCCACGACATCACGCGAAGGTGAGGTTACGACAATGTCATGATACAATTCACATGCACTCGATAATCGCGGCAGAACAGAAAGAATACAACAAATTACAACCAAGACACACTTGCATAGGGGAGCCGGGGTTGCATGATTCTACAACGACGCCGGCAGGTCTTGGACAACACGGCGGCACGCAGCAGGAACACCCCCGGGATCCACGAGGTGCCGTGACCTTCTCCCCGTCCGACCGAAACAACGCGGTGATGCTGTGCCTGGCCCGCGCCCGGCAATCCGACCCCATGCAGCCTCAGCCAGGAGTCCGCGACGGCCGCGGCAGGCCCGAGCTGGACGTGGAGTTGTATACAGCCTGAGCCCGGAAGCACTCGCCGCGGAGCTGCCGCCCTACGACGATCAACGAGCCATGCTGACCAAAGACCCCGTGGCCTGCGCGGACAGCTTCCGCATCCTGGTGCAGCTGGCGCTCCGACACCTCTTCGGAGTTCGCTACTGGTCCAGGGCAGCAACGCCATGGCGTGCGGGGGCATCTTCGGGCGGCTGGACGCCGCCTTCGGCTCCATCGAATGCCAGAAGTCCGGGGTGCTGCACATCCACTTCCAGGCCCGCTTCTAAAAGACAACATACATACACACACACAAAAACAACCGAAAGGTCGTCGAATTCTAGCTAGACGCATCAAAGCAAGGCAGAAACAAGATACCGAAGCCACCGCCACACACTTGCTCCGCGCGCAGCTCATCCTCCAGTGCTTCCACCAGTTCAAACCGCTCTCGGAACTGCAAGCGCTGGGCTCGCAGCGCAAGATGGACCTCTTCCAGAAGTACTGCGCCTACACCGCCCACATCAGCCGCACCATCTACCGGGACCCGCAAGCATGGGAAAGGAAGCGCCAGGAAACGGAAGAGAAGTGGCCCGCCTACCGCGACTCCTTCCTGGCCCTGCGCCGCCCGAACTACCAAAGAGCAGACGCCTCCACGGACGGCCCGACCTGGCGGCGCCTGTTCCTGGACGAAGACGTAGAAGCCTTGCAGCAGCTGAAGCAGCATCACGTGCACCTGCCCAAGAAGACGGGCGGCCCGCGCCTGCCGCCGGATCACTGCCGCGACAAGAAGGACCCCACCAAATGCAAGGCGGGCTTTCCACGCGAACTGCAGCTGATCGAAGAAACGACGATGGTGTGCAAAGGACTGGCCGAGGAGATGGGCATGCCCGTGAAGGGCAAGTGCAGCGCCCTCGGTCGCCTGTGGGGGCCCTGCAACGACCCGAACCTCAACGGCAACCACCCCGCCTTGCTGGCCGCCCTCCGCTGCAACGGCGACGTGCAGGTGCCCTATCGCTTCCCGATCACGGAGGACCTCCACGCCGCGTGCGGCCGCTGCGACAAGGACTGCCCCGCCCAGGACAGCCTGCGTGAGATGACCCAGCAGGCCCAAGTGAACCAGGCCGCACAGGCGGGGCTATGCCTGCGACTACAGCAACAAGCGCAATCCCATCGCCGTCAACGAGGTCCAAGAGTGGAAGAAGAGCCAGAAGCGGAGCTGCACAACAACGCCTCCAGCGGCTATGTGGGCGCCGGGTCTCGAAGCGCCTTATGACCGACGTCTTCGCCCGCGGCGTGGTCCGCGGCTCCGTGGAGTGCGCGAACCTTATCGACCACGCCAGCCGCGGCGGCGGAGGCCATCAAGACCGCCCAGGTCGCCGAGATGTCCCTCCAGACCGGAGTGGAACTCTTGCAAGCGGCCATAGATGACAGGCCTCCCCGCCGGAGCGAGAGAAGATCCAAAGTGACCTCAGCAGGAACTTCGAAGCGCCGAACAAGAAGAAAGCCATAGCATTATTACACCTCTTGAACCTGGCACTTGCGGAGCCGCCCTCTGAGATGCGGGGGGGGAGAGTGTGCCTCCTGGTTGCCTATTTCATTTCCAAGTCCAATACCCGGTGTAGCTCCGATGTGTTGTCCTGAACCCGAAGTCAGTGTTGCTTCTCGGGGCAGAGGCTCAGAGATTAAAGAGCTGAAGCGATAAGAGTAGGCAGGCGCATAGCCGAGCAGAACAGATATATGAAAGCACAAGCGCCCCTGAACATTTCAGAGGGCTCGTGCTGACTGACGGAACGTTAACGGCGCAGGACACTGCAGACTTGTACCGATATGCGCTTCTGAGCCTGGTGCACGACACCCCGTCAATTAGCAGCAGTTTCTCACAAATGCCAGCTCATCCGCACCGTGGGCAAAGTAGCGCTTCTCTTCAAGCGTGCTAAAAAGTCCCATATCCTTTCATGTTGTGCCATGGTCCTTGGCCTCTACGCAGTTGGCTGCTGAAGCGAACCGCAGAAGCTTCGTGTCAAAGCTGGCAACTCTGTGGCTACATCGGTTTGCTCGCCACCAGATTCGCACACTTCTGACCCAATGCTTCTATGCTCGGAGGGTTTGGGGGGACTGCATCCGGTGACACTTAATGCACAACATTCCGAGGCGTGTGCCTGCGATCCAAGACTTCTGATGGATCATGTGCTTTTGTCGCAAGCTTAGGCGGAAGTAGGTCGGAGAGCTGAAGCTGTTCCTATCACAGGCTTCTGCATCCCGATGGTGTGAATGGCATTCCATGCATTGTGGGTTCGTCGATGTGCAAGGCCACATGTCATCGACAGCCGATTTGAGCTCAAATGGCTGCGCTTCTTCTTGAGCTTCCGCTGCAGTAGATTGCAGAAGCTATACTGTTGCCACATCGTGTGGAGTACTTTGTTACCGATAGCGCTCAAGCTGCCTTTGTTCAACCCCAACCAGGTCTTGTCTGTCATGTCCAGCTGCCTTCAGCAAGCTGGGCGCTAACACCTTCTGAGCTTAGCAGTTGAGCAGGCGAATGTCTGGGGACGATGCTTCAACATCACTCACGATGCTCACAGATGCACTGCAGGCAATCATAAGTCTTCGGGCCCTGATATCCTTGCAGATCTTCAGTGTTCAGCATTTCAGCTCATCATCAGCCACTGCTCACATCTTGAAGCTGACCTGCGTGAATTAGCGGAAGCGGCTGAAAAATGATGCAAGCGAACCTCCGATTTCTTTAAGATCGGTGCGTCGAGTCGTGACGGCATTCTTTGTCATCAGTTGTCGACGAAGTATGAGCTGTAGATCCTCGCAGCCAGCCGCAGTTGGTGGTTTGGCAATTGGGGACGCTCGAGACGAGGTCGTCCTGCAGGTCTGGATGCTTGCGCAAGAAGTCACCTGCAGGCACAGCGGCGAGTGCGGACGGGCAAAGCATGCAACGCCGTCATACTACAAAACAACGGACTTCAGCGAAGTACTGGGAGAGATTCCGAGCATGCGGCTCTTCATGTACTTCTGGAGCCATGCATTGAGATCAGGCTTCAACGGGTCGAGAACAGCCTCGCAAAGCAATGGTGAAGAACAGCATCACACTAGTAGCTGTTGCCATGGATTCTCTCCGGCAGATGCCAGTACAAAGAGGCACCCGATTCTCCGGCTGAGGCCGATTTCTCGTGGTCCCAGCCTCGGCGATGAAGCGTTCCATGACCTAACGGAGATAGCGAAGTCGATTCGACACAAAGCAGAAACACAACCAGAAAAAACCTGTGACACATGGCTCTATGAATGCAAATCTCAGGCTTCCTGCCATGGAGTGCTCGTTCTTCAGCACCTGTGATGCGCAGGCGTGCATTCATTTGGTAGTCTCACAAACCGCCTGAGAGCTGGAATTTCTTCTGAGTTTCGCATGCAGCTTTGCAGAAGTGCACAGCCGCTTTCCCCTTTTTATCGGCCTTTCCACTCATGTTCCGATTATGTTTAGCTTCGACGTCATGTACGTCATTTAGCTTCGAACGGAATAACTAAGTGAGCTAGCTCTCCTTAAAACGGCAAATTTCAGCCAAGTGAGGTACAGGTGCAGACAAGGACTTGATCCGGCATCTGCACCTGCGGCATGCGGCCATGTTGCGAGCGCAGCTTCGGCGCTGGTATGCCGGCGGAGGCTTGCACCATGCGTTAGCACATTCTGTTGTCCTTGTACGGGCATCAGAAAATCGGGTCCATGCTCTGTGGCCTTCAAGGCCAGGCTGCCTCGACAACCTGAGAATCAACGACCCTGGTATGTTCGGACGTTCTTCGCAGTTGAGCGAGAGATCCGGTGATGCTTACGACCTTGTGGATGCCGTGGATATCCGCGGATCATATGTGGATGGCGTGCTCGTCCTCCGTCAAGTCCGACAGGTGAGCGCAGTTCGAGATTGCCGGTATGTCACCTGCTGGCTCATCTTCAGGAACTGGGCTCTTCTGGAGAGTCGCCAAGTGGACCAACTCTACGGCCTCTACAGCACGAAGAGACCCAAGGCGCTGTATCGCAGTAATCATCTCATCAGGTGTGAAGCGGAACTTGGCTTCACCCCCGGCAGCCTGCAGGCTCTCCATCCGACTCTTCCAAAGCCAGGGCACGTCGGACTTTGGGGTTTTGAACGGCACCGACTTGTGCGCTGATGTGAGCACACACAGGACCTCCATGGTATCTTTCGGCAGGACGGACTGCCTCAGAATGCCCAGCCACAGCGACGCGAAGTCATCGAGGGCCTTGCCCGTGGACCGGTACTGGTAGAAGCGCCCGAAGCGCAGCAAAACACGGCGGGCTTTGGTGAGGAGGGACACCTCCGTCTTCGCCGTAGGCACTTCCGACTCGAAAGTGATGCTGCTGGAATGAAAGCACCACTCCAGCCAATAATGCTCATCGGCCCGCTCCTGGGAGAGTGATACTTTAATGTTATAAGTTACAGAGGCTTTAAACATCCATACAGTTCGTCGGGGATTCTTGACTCTATGTTGTCGGGTATATGACAACTAAAACTTTAAGATATCTATTTTTGTATGGGCTTTGCCTAGAGTTTTAAGACATTCTGAGTTTTAGTGAGATTTCATACTATCTAGTTTGATTTTTTGTTCAGGGTTTTAGAGGGATTAATGATTAATGGGTCGGTGGACCTAAAGCCTGCTGCGGTCCTGGAAGAGTGGTGCGGCAGTACGCACCGCGAAGCGCTTCACCCTGGCAACCAAGCCTGTTAAGAACTTCATGGCACCCCCTCGGGAACTCTTGCTGGTCATTTTCTTCTCGTCCTCCTCGGCTTCGTCCAGTTTGTGCAAGGTGTCGCGCAGGAATTGTGCCAGGATGTGCAAGGCCATATAGAGGCATATGAGGGTGAAGAGCATAGCAAGAGAACCTGCCAAGACCCATGTCGCTTCGCGAGATGGAGCAAGTATCAGAATGATGGCAACGGTGCTGAAGAGGAGAAAGCGAAAGATGGCAAGGCCGATCTCAAAGAAGTCTAGGATCTGGGCCTGGCTATTCTGGAATGGTTGGATCCATGAGCAATAAGCCATCTGCGCACCCGAAATCACTGGGTATGACAGCAGCTTTGCTCTTTCATCGTTGGTTAGAGATGTGTAGGTGACAAGCATCATGGCGGCGATGTCCAACCTCCGGATCACAAGATCGTACCACCAGTACCGGGGCTCAAAGCCGTTGATGAAGTATCCAAACCTTCGCTGATTCTCGGGGCTGTTCCTGTCCGTGAGGTTCCAAATCACACGGATGAGCAGCATGGGCATGCCAATGCACCAGCAGCCTAAGCCAATGATGGCAATGGTGGCAAGCGGCATGTGATTACTGCTCCAGCACTCCACGTCTGGGTATGGCAGGAGGCGGTGGACTACTCCGTCCTCCTCCTGAAATGGCTGGCACCAAATCATCTGGAGGTACTGCGACAGAAATCCAGGCCACATGTTGATCAAGGTCACCCATATCACCGGCACGGACTGGTGCAACAGCTGGAAGGGGCCAGGCCATCGCGTGAATAGGCCGAAATCCAAAGTGTCCAGGTCCACTTCCCCAGTGGCCAGCCCGGTCTCCGTCCTGGCCGGGATGATCTTCGCGGGTTCGGCCCTGAGCTGTGCTGCTTCATCTGCCAGCACAAAACCAAAGTCCCCGCTTGCAGAAGCCATTCTCATCTCAGCGGTAGAGGAAAACTTCGACGAAACCGCCAGAGCCAGCTTCTCCGGAGGAAGCGCTTTGTCATCTTGTGGGAGGTCTGCCTCCTTGATGAGAGAGTACGCGAGCGCCCTGCGAACCAAAAGGTCCATCAGGCTCATGTCCAGCTTGGAAGGGGCTGCCGCGAAGCTACACAAACTGCTCGCATCTATGTCCGTGGACAAGAGATCCAACAGAGTCACATTCTCTGCGCAGGCAGAAAGATCCACTTCCGTAGCGAGAGCAAGCAGCTCCGGACTCTCCTTTGCACCTTCCAGGCCCTTCTTGACCCAAGCCGGGCCGAGGCGAAGGCCTTCCAGCAAGTCCTCTGGGACGTCGATCCCCAAATAAATGTCAGGCAAGGCGAGGTCCTCAAGCACAGCAGAGTCCTTCAAATCTTTGAAAGTCAGGTTCAGGTCCCCCAAGCGCGGGCTGAGAACGTCTCCCAGCACTTCGAGAGCTGCCTTTCGTTGCTTGCGCTTCTTGGCCGCCTCAGTGATCTCGATGCCGGCCTTGCGCAGTAGCGGGACGAGGAGATACGTGACAAGGGCGCACAGCAGGTAGGTGCTCAGAATCGAGAGCAGCGGTAGGAGAACGAAGTAAATAGCCGGCACCAGCTGCTTCGCCTGCTTCGAATCCCAGATGTGTTCGGCCCAGCAGGACAGTGTGAAGCTCACAGCACTTAGCCTGGATGCCACGTCAAGCAGGCCAAGGACCTGCCGGAACCACTCGGTGACCTCGGGTGGCCATGGGAAGTTCATGCTCCTCAGATCGTCGCACGGGTCGCCCGTCTGAGCGCACTCAGTGATCTTCCTTTCTACTGACCAATCGAAGACTTGCAACTGCTCGATCTCGAAGTGTTCGAGCACAGAGCATGCTGTCATGAACTGGGTACCAATTCGAATCATGCTCGTATGCAGACTGCGGCTGTCCTTCACCGCGGCCATGGCCGCCAATGATGCAACGGCGAAGTTGACCAGAACGTTTTGGGCGATGTCGGTGAAAACCACGAACCCCATCCAGCTAGCTGCGAAGCTGCATTCTGAGCAAGCACCTGGATATGTATCGCGTGCATAGGAGGCTGGGCATTCGCCACACAGGAAGCCGGATGAACCTCGTGCGCATACGTTTCCTCCGAGGCAGACAGAGGTGCCGTCCACCAGGTTCACCTCGCACTTCGCCGCCAGAATCTGCCCCGTCTGGAAGAAGCCCTGCTCTGCCACAGGCTGATTATGTGCCCCACTGCTGTCGAAGCCTCCGAAGCATGTCAGACCACGGTAGGTGCAGCTGGCGCAAACTTCCAACTGCTCTGATCCATTGTTCGCTGCCAGCGAGGCATGGCTGCCAGCAGTGCAGAAGCAGTTGCTCCGGTTCACAGCACCAGGCTTGCTGTCTGCATTTGCCGGACATCTCTGGTTGCAGTCCTCGTTGCCGATGTTGGGCTTGAAGAATCCACGCCCGCAGGCGATGCAATGCGGCCCATCGACAGCTCGTCCTCCAGAGTACCCTGGCATGCAGATGCAGTCTGTTATGCTGCTGCCTCCCACGTTGTCAGTGATTGTGGCGGAGTTTGAGGGGCACTGTAGCTTCGCTCTCCCGCCTGGGCAGAAGTGGTTGCGTGGGCATTCGAGGCATGATTCCTCGCTCTCGTAACGACCGGCCTGGCACTGACAGGAACTCTTCGTGGTCGCCCCGGCATTTGCAGTGGACATCCACTGTGGGCACTTCGTGCATAGTACATCGCCAACTGTCGCCTTGTACTCCCCTTCTGCGCACGCTTCGCAGCTGCCAGCTGCTGAGTCGAATCCGTAGCCAGGACTGCACTGACAGTCTTCGCTGCTGACGACTGGCACGCCTGGAGGAACTGAGCGGTACCTCGAACAGCGTACCGTCGCCTCCGAAAGCACCGGCGCAGACAGCAAAGGCGTCATTGAGGAAAAGATCGGATGCTCCTCGATGGACTCAGCGATGCCATCTGCAACCGCGGCTACATCCAAGTCTTGCAGCGTCAACTTGGCCTCGTCCATGCTGCGATACTTGATGGTGACAGCCAGTCGCATGTTGTCGGTGTTGCCGGTCGCCAGGCGCCGCTGAATCGGCAGGAATTCCAAGGACAGCGCCTCTTGACCACCTCCAAGAGTACCCGAGATGGCATCAAGGAGCAGCGCTTGGAGTTCGGACAGCGACTCGTTGTCCTGCACCTCGCCAAGGAAGTCCGCGAGCTCGATGCTCAACACCACAGCTGGCACGGTGGACTCATTACTCACGCCCTCCTCAGTCGGGGCCATCGTGACATTGTCGCCGACAGGCTGAGATCGTTCAATGCAAGATGCGTTCGATATGGAGCCCTGCATGTAGGTCGTCAAGCCTTCCGGACAAGGCGTGCATGTGTCAGCATTGCCCACGTCCAGTTTGTAGAAGCCAACTTCGCAGCTCACACACTGCCGCAAGTCATCAGAGCGACGATACCCGCTTGCACACTCGCAGGCCGCCTTTGTCACTGCACCACTTGACTTTGTGGTGTGATGTACAGGACAGGGAAGACGCACGGCGACGTCGACCAGTCCACCAGCACAATGGTAGCCTCTGGTGCATGCTCGACACCTCCGACCGGTTGATTGCCCAATGGTGTAGCGACCGGGCGGGCAAGTGATCTGCAACTGTCCGGCCAGCACGAAAGCTTCTGGGGAAGAACAGTCTGCACTGGCGGCACACCAACACAGGCTGTACGTGCCGGGTGTGCCATCCCACGGTGTCACACCCAAAGCAGCCTGGAACTGTGCTCCGTTTTTCGTGACGCTGACCACTGATGTCCAGCTCGGGAACCCCAGAGTGGCTATGGACTCTGGCGAAGCAGGCCCGACGCCACAGCTACCTGCGACCACCAACACTTGATCACCGATCGCCAAGTTGGAGCCCAACAAGTTCACAGTGCAATCCGAGCCCAGCGGGCAAGTCGTGACTTTCTCCAGAGGCCCAGCCAACACCATAAAGCCAATGCCCTGAGTGAAATGCGCTGCTACAGTGCAGTTGTCCACTTCGGGGACGGGGACGGGGCGGCAGAAGCAAAGACGATAAATGCCCGGTCGACCCCTCACCTCAACGAGCTCGTCCGCGATGAAGTTGAACCACTGTCCAGCAAGCGAACCTTCTTCCGTGCCGAGCGTTTCGAGGATGCCGTCGCCGGGGAAACCGGGCAAAGGGTCACCTGCGCCGCACGCCTCGAGGACCATGAGCCGATCTCCTGCCCGGATGTCCTGGCCTTGGATGATCGGGAAGTGGCACTCCTGGCCCACGACGCATTGGACCTGCTGCGGCTCAAAGGGTCCCTCCAGCCTCATGCGTCCAGCCTGCACCCACTCCTGTGGATCCTGACATGCACCCTCGAAGGTAGCTGCACACCAGCACAAATAGTAGTCCGCCAATTCCACCGGAAACTGAATGAAACGAAAATCCACTGTCAGCCGATATGTCTGATTGTCCACGTCTAAGATCTCGCTCCTTGTCAGGGTGGCATATTGCACGTATTCACCGTTGAGGGAGCTCGATGAGGCGCACTCGCTCTGCTGCACGACGACGAGGTCGGACATGGCAAGAACATGTCCCAGAAGCTGCACGTCCAGGCAGTCACGGCCTAGAACGCATGTCACCACCTCCATGGCCTGGCTCTCAAGCGGGCCCGCCACGAGGAGTTGGCCAACGTGGATGGGATAGGACCACGTGGCCCCGCAATACATGCTAGCGCAAAGGCACACATTGTAAAACGAAGGAGAAGGATCGAAATCTGCAGGCCGTTCACCCCACTGGAAGCGGCTTCCGTCGTCCTCTCCATACCCCGACATTCCCTCGTTCGCTACTCCACTGACTGAACCCCCATTCAGTGTATCATTGCACGTCGTAGAAGTCAAGCGTAGCTTGTAATGTTGTCCGTATTTTGACAAGCCAGGCAAGCTCTCCGTGGTGCAAGATTTTCTTCTGGGGCACACCCAAAAACTCATAATCTGAGCCAACACAGGTTCGCATCCAGAGGCGTTCTCTGCATCTGTGAACCCGGCCTGGCAAGGAATACATTCCACATTGGCGAGACCAAAGTTCGTGCTCCCCGCCGGACAAGCCACACATGGCGCAGAGCCAACCGAGTCCTTGTAGCGCCCCGGAGGGCATGGTTCACAGCTCTCAGAAGCGTTGCTGATCTGGAATCCTCGTAAGCATTCGCAGCTCCCCGGTTGGCAGGCATGTGAGCGCTTGGTGTATGTCAGGATATCCCGAATCACGAAATCTTCGTAGTCAAGCGCCTCTCCAGAGAACATGAGCACCTCACGTTCGTCCGGAATCCAAGCTGCAACATGGCGTGCTCGCCGAACCTTCATCACACCTAAACCGTCTGCATCAAGTTTAAATGCGTTCGCCTGGTAGTCATACTGCCACATCTCGGGTGTAAGCAGCATGGTGCCATCTGCACGATCCCACACCGCTCGATAACCCGCTCCCTCACCCCCCGCACCCTGGTAACTTGTGGGGAACGGGTTCATGGGGCTGGGTGGAAGCAACTCCTCCCACTTTTCGGCCTGCACGACGTACCGCCAGAGGTCGTTCTCGTTGTTCGCCGTCCCTCCAAAAATAATCATGGATCGATCTGGCGAAGCCAACACTGCAACGTGTCGATAGCGCGCAGCAGGTGCTGCGCCCCCTTGAGTCATGTTCGTCCAAGAATTGAACTGGATGTCATACTTCAGGAGATGGTTGGACGCAACCCGTGTGTGTGTCGCGGCGCCGGCGACTTCCCCTCCAAAAACCAACATGGTCCGCGTCTGGGTGTCCCACACGGCGGTGTGAAGGCGTCGCGCCAGGCCATCCGGCTGCACGGGGTTGGGGTCAGTGAGGGTGTCTGTCTCTAAATCATAGATGAACAGCTCGCTGCGCAACGATGCTTCGACTTGGTTCCAGTGCGCCCCGCCCCTGCCCCCGAATACCAGCATCACGCGTGACAGAGGATCCCAGACCGCAGTGTGATCTCTTCTGGCCTGGCATCCTCTGCATTCCAAAGGTGTCCACAGATTCGCCTTCCAGTCGTACTTGACGAGAATGGGATCCTGTATGGGCACAGCATGGGCAACCACCACGGAAGCAAGCTTCACAGAAGGGTCTATTCCTCCATAGACCAGCAAGAGCTGCTTCTCGGCATCCCACACGGCCGAGGCAAAGGCTCGGGCCTGCTGGTCCGGAAAGTTCTGACTCCGCCAGGTTGTCTGGTTGCTGACCTCATCCGTGAGGCAGAGCCTCCACCCAACCTCGTCAGTCCACGTATCAGGAGACCATTTGATGAGACCTTGCGGCGGGTCCAGGAGATCTGCGGATGTGTAAGTGCCGCTGTACACTCGGCCATTGATCTCCAAATAGTCATAACCATCCTCTGTCACAAACTTCGACACACTGACATACTTTGAGTTGTTCCCGTCCACGCTGATTGTACACCCGTGCCGGTCATAGTTATCAGGGAAGTTCGGACTAATTATGCAGCCATCTGCATCGACTGTGCACCTCCCACTGAGGACCTTCCAAGCAAACGTCGAGTTGGCCTCAGGGACGGGGGCTGCCTGCCCATCGAGGCAGAAAGCGAATGCTCGCATATGAGGACCTGCCGCTCCATCTGTTGACCAAACGATGTCACCTGTTGGGATCACCCCTGACGGACCATCGTAGCCACTGTAATTCACGCCGTTGACAATGAGAACGTCACCAACATCTGCTTCAAAATCCATCATTTTGATAAACTTGCTGTTGTCGCTGGCCACACTGATGATACATTCCTCATTCTCTCCGTAGGTGCTGGGAGAAAGGTCCCTCGTACTACGCCAGACGCAACAGAGACCGCCTCCACATTCTGCCGAGGCATCGCCGCTGTAACCATACGTGTAGGAGCCATACGAGCCGTAGAGGAACGGGCCATAGCCATAGCCGTAGGTCCCGTAGGAGGAGTTCCCTCCGTAGCCGCCATAGCCATAGGTATAGCCATAACCATAATCGATAGGCCCGCTATCGCGCTTTACGAGGTTGTATGTCTCGCAGGGCCCCGAGATCACCGTGAGTAAGCTCGCATGGCACGGGGCAAATCTCGCCAACGCCAGAGCTGTTGCTCCAACAGTCCAACGCCAGGTGTGCTGCTGGGACGGACCCGCAAACCTCGGCATACCAAACATGCCAGACCCGTCGACTACAGCAGCCATCAATCTTGTAGCCATATGTGGCCGCGGGTTGAGACTTGAGACTTTAGCTGAAGGAAGCATCCCGAGTTCGGAGATGGATGTTTCGGCAGCGATGGCCTATAGTTTGTGCCTTTGCTCTTTTTTAAGTTTTCCCGGCAGGTCTTCCTCGGCAATTCCGATACAAAGAAGCTTTGTCGAGCTAAATGAATAGCCGAAGGCCATGCAATCGCACGAAACCTGGCCCTCAGGCAGCCCTCAAGCTCCAGAAGCCCTCGTTCGGGACATCGGCGCCTTCAGGAATTGCGCGCGCACATGGGAGCTTGCCATTTGCTGTGGCCTCGTCAACTCAAGTTGTCGACAGTGCATTCTTCGGAAAAGGTTCCCGCTCTTTGGCTAAGCCGCAGGCTGTCGACTTCTGGCAGCTTCCATTTCCACGTCACCTGAGCTCAGAAATGCGAAGCCCCGTTGTTTTGGCAGCTTCTGCTAGTTAAGGCCACAGCTCGTTTGCAAGGATTCCCAGAGGCCTGGCGAAAAGCTGAAGCCTGTGGGTCTTCAGAGCACTCTAAACCCCGCTGTAAACCTTGTAACAGCATGCCACAACTCGTCTTATTGCAGGGACCGAGCAGTCCCACCTGCTTTCTGTGTTGCTTCGTGAAGCTGCGCCAGCGCCTCAGCCGCGACAGCATCCGCTCTTTTCTTAGCACCTCGTCGCTGTTGCCGGTTTCATTCCCTGGCCTTGAGGATTGCGATGATGTCAGGTTCAGTTCTCAAGTCTGCGCGAACAGCAGTTGGCTCTACCTCTATGTGAGGCACTGCCGGGAAAACAAACATTCGGACTCCACTCCCAATTGTGCTTCCGTCATGTTGCGTCTTGCCACCGAAGCCCTGTCTTGCGCTTTGGCTCAGGCCTTCTCAAGGCCTTTCTCGTAGGCAGCCTTGGCACTGCGACCCGGCAATGTGACCACACGCTGCCAATCACAATATAGCAGCACTTATGCACTGCAGCCAATGGACAGTGCCAACAACAAAGAAACGGGAACAAACGCACAAGCACAAACAAACATCGCTGCTAATCCTGCCGAAATGGACGTGTCAATCCAGACATCGGTACAGAATCCATCGCTCCGAAGCTTCAAAAAAAGAGCGGCAGTTCTCACAAAAAATCGGCGCGCAGCTCCGACCCCCGCTGCAGAGACCAGGCCTTCCTGGCTGCTTCGCGAGCTGCGGCACCGCCCAGCAAAGGCTTCGGGACCGCCTGTTTTTCAGGCGCAGAAATCGAAGAAGGCGCCCTTCTCGCTGCTTTCCCCGGGTTAACCCGACCGGAGCTCGGACCTTCGGCTTGGGCTTCTTCGCACCTCGCTTGGACTTCCGAAACTCAGCAAATCTGGCACTCAAAAGTGCCACGGCCCCAGCTTTGCAACCCGAAGTTCTTGGAGGATTTGATTGCCTCGGCACAAGGACAAGCCATCCTTGTTTTCAGCCTCCGATGCAGCGAGGCTTCGCATATCTCTCGTGCATGTGTGCTTGAAGCATAAAATCCAAAGAGAAACACGAGTCTTGCAGCATAGCTCGGGCACAGACCTCGATGAATGCCTCACTTGTGAGGCCTCAAACAACAAGCTGACATGTTTGGATGCGTGCCGCACTAATGACCAGACCAGACGACTGTGTCAGAAAGGGATGCTCCTCTCCGCTAATCGGCCAAGAGTGATTGTGTCTATACTGCCATCGTCATGGCTCCCACACAGAAGCCCACCCTTGGCAGCCCTTGCTCGTCGCCTTCGCCGCTACCCTCCGCAAACTGGCTGACGGCGTCCTGACTCGAGGCAGGAGCTCCAGCGATTCGGAGCCGATTCACGCAACGAGCTCCGGCCAGGACCGAGGTGCTGGGGTCCGCACGAAAGCTTCCTCGAAGGCCTTCTTCACAGCCTCGATCAGTCTGTTGAGCTTGGTGTGTTACGATTGCCTGTTGCTCCGGGCTCTCGCCTGCTGCTCCTTGCTTGGCAGGGTGTTCTGGAGACCTTGGTGCATGACGCAAACAAGAACTGCAAAGGTGAAAGGCACTGTGCGATGTGTTAAGGCGCAAGGAATCATGGAAACAAGAGAGTCGACATTGTTTTCTGAGGAAACACTAGAAACAGGTGACAGCAATCAGACAACGGCAGGTGCACACATCGGTTTGCCAAGATAGCGGCTCGACAGTTGCAAAGCCGATGGTGCGGTGAATCAGAAACGACGGAAGTTAGCTTGACTGGGCCATATCGTGCCCTGGAGCCGAGCAACTTCGAAAGTCCAGCCCAAACGAAGGGCTGTGCAGCCTACACGTGTAAATGTGAGAAATCACGATGCTTTCGTCTGTTTGCCTGCAATGTCGTGTTGGAGGGCCTTGAGGCTTTGAAAGACTGCAGGGTGGGCTCGAGCTTCCGTTGACCACATCCAGTGGGTAGGAACGTTGTAGTGACGACAAGCTTAGCTTTGCATGCCATCTCCTAAGCCCACAACCCTTCACAGGCACTGCGCTTCTCCGACAAGCCAGTTCCAAGCACCTGACTCTCGTTAGCGGTGACTTTGAACATCTCCTGTTGCGAAACGGAATCTCTACACACGCTGCTGCCGTCGAGTGCTGATCCGCACCAGCCTTCGGAGTGTGCACAGCCAAGGTCTCGCAGCGCCTCAGCACTCCCACACTCGTCCCAGAAAACCCAACTGCACTGCTTTCCACTCCACTTGCGAAGGAGCCCGGGCCTGGCGGGCCCCAGCCGCTAGCGCAACAGAAAGGCACAGTCAACGACAGCTGCTCTGTTCTTGGCTACCCGGCGCCCCGTGCGCCCGGATCATCCTCTCCCGCAGGAGGTTTAAGTTTCGCTGCGTCCTTGACATGGCAGGCCCCAGATTTCTTGGCATCCCAGATGTGCGCAGCCAGGGGCCTAGGTTTGTACCTGCACTGTGGTGTCGAGGTTGGACTAGTAGGGGCATCGGGACTAGAGATGCGCGCCTGCCGGCTGAACTCGTGTGGAGAAGCGTGCTGGACTTGCAAGGCACCCTGAGACTTGCGCAAGACCCGCTGCAGATCGACCTCAAATCGTAAGGGAACGTCCGTCTCGGAATCAGGAAATTATACATCTTTCACTGGACGTACATATGTCACTGTTCTTGCAACACATACATTAAAAAAACTTTGTAAGTGTATTGGATTCGGTTGAAAGTCAAGACGACATTAGAACGACTAAGCTTGAACTACCCGAACCTCCAAGTGGAAACTGATGCCGATGTGTTCCCAAAACCTTCCAACCAGGTGCCAGCCTCGAACCACATGAACAAACGGATCTACTTGGCGCCTACTGTTGGCAAGCCGCGAATTTTTTCCTCTGGCCTCTGCCATATCGCGTGAAGCACCGGTCCCCAGCCCTGTGTCTGGGAACAGGCCACTCATAAAGCTCCGCAAATCCCAATCCAATTCGTCTCGGATAAGCCATCTCTCGCATGTGGAGTGATGGGCCTTTCACGAAAAGGTGGCTTGCACCTTGGCCTCGGTAAGAAAAGGGAATGCATGCAAAATCTGGTCAGGAGCCTTCCAAAGCTTCCACGTCTGGTCGATTAAGGCCCGGACACCCTCTGCGATCTGGCCTTGAAACTCAGCTTGGAAGTCAGGTGCCGCAAGCTCTGTCACGTTGGTGCAAGATTCAGACTTAAACCTTTTCAGAAGCTTCCTCGCTGCAGTCTTGGCGTTGGGGTGTGCTCATGGTGCGGTCATGTCCGAGTTCAACGAAAACCAAGCACCCTCAAGAAGCCCGGACCGCCACGCTATGCTACGCTGGCCTCGCTCAACATCCCACTTGTCGAAGGATGCTCCGATCTTCCAGCCGATGAGAGGCAGCGCCTAAGTCCCAGCGTGAGCGGAATCCACGGCGCGGAGTCAGCAAGGTTCTGTTCAGGCAAGCTGCGCCCTCGAGTTCCGCCTCCTCTTTGGAAGCAGTCGTTGGGTCACTAGCTTTGTGAGAAGGGACTGCTGGGGCTACTGTTTTCCTAGCAGGGCCGTCGGCTGCAATGCATGTCTGCAAAAAATGCTTCTTGGACTGGTCAACCTCAACCCTGACAGCGCTTTCGGCTTTCGCCCCGTGCGCTCCGTGACGAGAGTGATGGAAGTTCCCGTAGCACCCATGCGGCCCGTTCGTCCGGCGAGGTGGAGGTATTCGCCGGAGGCCTTGCAGGCTTCGCAGCGTAACAAGGAAGCCTGGGATGGGGGCGTACCGGGCCTCCGGGAGCTGCAGCTGCACCACGTAGCGCACGTTGGGCAGATCAATGCCTTGACCAGCCGCGGTCAAGCGCCCTCTTAGACAATCTCCATATGCTGCGACGGACAAAAATTCACACATCATCGCCTCTGCCCTCCTGGGCCTTCGCCACGAGTACACGGCGCTCTGCCTCGACTTGTTTGGCTCAGATCTCCATCCCCAGCCCCTGGGTTTGCAAAACGTAGGTAGGGTGTAGGTAAGAAAATGCCCTGGAGTCGCATAGAGACCGGCCGAGCCCCGGCGGAAGCCTCTTAGAGCTCTTAGAGGAGGACCTTAGAGGGGCCATGCCGAGTCCTGCGCCTGCTCAAGATGCTCCACGAAGTCCTGGCCCTGCTGCAGCGCTTGCAGCGGGCTGATGTCCTCCAACCACTCTCACGTGGTGTTGAGTTTCTTGCTTGGGCTCTGGGTGCAGGCACCCCCGGCCCCTTTCCGGCTGGAGGCTGAGCGCGTTCCCTCATAAGTGTGCCTTTTGGCGAGACCCCCCCCCCCCCCCC